GGGGCATTTATGTTTTTATTTCATCCCGTTTTTACTGGTGTTACTCCATTTAGAGTACTCTCTAGACAAGGATCTAAACAAATTTAAAGAGACATGATAACATTGTCCCTATTTTAGCCTCCCTTCTCAGTCTACCAGATAATTACAGAATAGATTTTGCTGATTATTTCAAGGCTAAATGTCTAAGCCTAAACTGTACCTGTGAACTTTTATTTTTGTCTTCTATATGTTCATACTTTTGTTCCGTTCTTTGTCAATTTTTGTCGCCTGATTTGATCGTGTCTGCTTTCTGTGCCAGATTCAAGACATCATCAGGATGTCTCACTTGCTGACCATCTTTACAGTAAGCGAGGACCATCACGGGGACGTGGATGTGGCCATTCTTCAAGCACTACTCAAAAGTAGGGATTTGGTTTTCACACAGATGTGCAGTACTTGATTGGACTGACTGTAGATGCCATTAAGTGTGAAGACATGAAGGCTTAGTGCCAAACTAGCTCTTAGCAAGTATAATGTTGCTTCTCAGAAAACGAAGCAGTTAGATTGTGGTATCAAATGTGCAGCGATCGAAAACCAAGAGACATTCTTGGAGATATTTTCGATTGCTTAAAACTCATTTAGAGAAAGCTTAATACATTATGTTACAAAAGTACACTGAGCCATTAAGTGCTTCAAGCGACTCCACCACATCAGACATTTATTTACAGTTTTGGTCATGATGATCCATCATTGGAGCTAAACTGCTTTGCCCTCAGTTTCCATTACTGAGGTCCGTTAGAGTAATCAAAACTAATTTCCAGGCAGTCATCCTGCTCACTCAGCGAGGGCCTATAGGACATAGAACAATCTTGATTATTGAGTAAAGCCTTGCTGCTTGACCATGCAGTGAAACTATTCAGACTACATTTTATGGTGCACATCATTATCAAAACCGCCGACCACAGGTTATGTCATGTTATAGCATCAAAGTGCTGAAATGTATTAATAATTTAAGTCATTTATTAAGCAAATATGCTAAACACTCTCTTGGTCCAGCTTTTCAAATGTGAGGATTTGCTGCTTTGCTCAATTTTACATCACTGTAAATTGAAGACGGAGTGCCTAATACCGCATTAGCTTTTAAAAAATGACTGTTTACCACATCCTCTTGCTTTAAGATCTAATGTGTAATATTTAGGCGGATCTATTGGCAGAAATTGAATATAATATTCATGGGTATGTTTTCATTAGTGTATAATCACTGCCACTAGATGCCACTAAATCTTACCCACTGGCCCTTCAAAATCTTTGTAATCTCCAGTATTTAATTTGTCTACTCACTCAACAGTGTCACATACATAAATGTTGTCACTACACATTTTCCATTTTAGCTTCGAGGACCAGCGAGTCATTGGGAATGGATAGCTGGAAGAGGCAGCTGGAGCTGGCTATAGCCTGGAACCGAGTGGACATAGCTGAGACTGAGATCTTCACTGAGGAGAGCCAGTGGAGGGTGGGTCTACACAATGTATAAAACACCAGAAGGAAGTGTCAGGGGGTGTTAATGTGCCTTTTACTGTTATTTCCATGTATTTTTATTTGCTATAGATATGCCATGCACTTTAATTTGTACAGCACTTTGGTCTTTAAACTTGATTTAATTTGATTTATTAACATTAACAAGTGTAATAAACTAAAGTCACAGAAGTCTTTTAAAACATAAAAACTTGTATTATAAACATTTTATGATGGGGCAGAGGGCAGTTGTATCATAAAAGACTGCTTTAGTTTCAGTTTACGTCATATCTCGTGATTTTGTGATTTAACAAGTCCAGCTTCTTTGCAAGGTTGATGATAACCTCAACGTCCAAATTTTCTACATCAAATCAGAGAAAAACTCTTCTTTCATTATGACTTTATAGAAAATATCAGACAAAGTGTTGTTTAATATGTATAAACGAAAGAATGCCTAACATAAATAAGCCTTCACATTTCTCCAAACATCTGGCAACAGTCAAATTGTGCTCATTGTGTCTTGTTTCTTACTAATTCCCACCCAGTCTAGTGACCTCCACTGGGCCATGTTCTCAGCCCTGGTTGGCCACAAGCCTCAGTTTGTGAGTCTGCTGCTGGAGAACGGTGTGAGCCTGAGGGATTTCCTGCAGGACGAGGACACTCTGTGTGAGCTCTACAAAAAGATGCCCAGTTGCTTCTTTCTCCGCAAGCTGGCCAAGCGGGTCAACAGTTCTACTCGCAGCAGGAGGCCAGCTATCGGCATCAGGCCTCGAGCTTATTCAGGCGAAATGATTTCCATGACTCATGTGTCTGACGAGGTGCGCCACCTGCTCGGCAGTTTCACCCAACCCCTCTACCCTCCCTCCAGCACGACAACCCACCTCAATATGTCTGTAGAGGATTTATCTCTATCAGTGAGTCTATTTATACACCAGAGTGGAGTATTTTCTGTCAGTTTTCAGAAAGAATTTGGATTTATGACATCAGTGTTTCTGTAATCCTTCACTTCTCCTCTAGCTGTCTAAAAGTGAGGCGCGTTCCCAGGCTCCACTCAGGGAGGACAATGCTGAAGCACAGAGGGATCTGGGCAGGGACCTTTTCCTTTGGGCTGTCGTCCAGAACAATAAGGAGCTGGCTGAAATTGCCTGGGAGCAGGTGATCAAGACACTTCCCCTATATATACATATATATATACAGACCAAGTGTGAAAATATTTGTTTGTTTGTGTATATATGACCTTGCCTCTGTGTTTGTTTGTATGTGCACAGTGTAGAGACTGCATATCCGCTGCCCTGGCCGCCAGCAAGATCCTGAAAAAAATGGCAGAGGAAGGAGGTGATGCAGACGAGGCAGAGGACATGCAAGAGCTTGCTAATCACTATGAGAAACACGCCATTGGTATAACACCACAGACATAATGAGTGGCTTTTTCTAATGTAAAATATATGGATTTTACAAGGTTAGTATTTGTCTTCATTGTGTGTGTTTGTGTGTGTTTGTGTGTGTTTGTGTGTGTGTGTGTGTGTGTGTGTGTGTGTGTGTGTGTGTGTGTGTGTGTGGTGTCCCAGGTGTGTTCAGTGAGTGCTACAACAATGATGAAGAGCGGGCTCAGAAGTTGTTGGTTCGTGTGTCACCATACTGGGGGAAGACAACGTGCCTGAGGCTGGCGCTGGAGGCTGATGATAAAAGTTTTGTAGCTCAGTCAGGTGTTCAGGTAGAGCAAACTTTCAGATTTATCTTCAGGGGCTTTTCGTTTAACAATTTTAGAACTTGGGACCTGAAACATTTGCCATCTGCATGCTCTGTAATGTAGAACCTCCACTGCGCACACAAAAACTGTGTTGAATACATTTTGGTGGAGAAAAAGTAGAGAAACTGTGATTGGTGAAGTTAACTTGATGAATGAGGCTATTTGATACCCAGATAAGAGTATATGAGATTCAAGTATGACTTGTGTCTGTCTTTAAGACTCTTCTGACACAGATCTGGTGTGGTGAGCTTTCAGTGGACAACCCTGTGTGGAGAGTATTGATCTGCATGGTTTTCTTCCCACTTATCTACACTGCCTTTCTGATTTTCAGGTGAGTTTCATCACCCGTTAAAACTGTCCCAGATTTAAGGGCCTTGCACAAAGTGTCACTGTGTTTAAAAATCTCTTATATCATTAGAGGCAAGATACTGTGTTGAAATTGGTACAGCAAGACTACTCTGGGCATAGAGATGTGAATAAAATAAGAAATTAATTACTAGTACAGCTCTTAATAATATGAAATGTTTTTTTATTTTAATTTTATTTATTTATTTTAACATAACATAAAACACAGGCCCCACCATATATACATATGCACACAAATACACCTGGGGACCATGCATCATGGTCTAACCCCGACACACCATAAGATCAACATCCCAACCAAAAAGCTGACTCATCAGTCACCAAATACCCCAACAGATCCAAACAAAAAGTCCTACATGTACAATACACACACCTATGTACATCTACCCAGACAATGAGGACATTAAATGTTAATTTGTATTATGGGGCAGGTTAGACAAACACATGGCAACAAAAGGCACAAAACTGTAGAAAATATTGAATGCGGCAACGAGTCATTACAATTAATGCCAAATTGGGACAAACCTATTAAGTGGAGCCAATAAAGTGGGACCGCAGTCAGAAGTTGGTGCTGGGGGGACAGAAGTTGCTCGCCACAGCTCAATATAACCACACTGATTAGCACACATGTTACACAATCTCAGTAAAGTCAGAATAAGGTGACTTGGTGTGACAAAACTGAAGGTGCTGTCATTTGTACAACTTGTTTCTCAAGCCAGTGCACAAGGATGAAAACTTGGTGTCAGACACACAAACCCCTGGAACCCTGAGAAAAATAAAAAGCTGTCATTCACCGTTTTTCAGATCGAGTTCAGATCTATTAAGCACAGCCATCTTATTAAAGTCCGTCAGGCTAATGATTGATGATTTACTGTGGCTTTAATCACAAGAATAAAAATAATATCAGTGTCATAAAGCTGATTTGGGTCGATGTCCACCTCCTAAATTTTCCGAAAAAAACCTGGTGACATTTACCTATGCTGAATGAAATGTGAGGTGTTTCTGTTACTTGCCTTTGCTATAATATAGTATGAGTATAATATAGTAGTATATTCTGACCTGACACAGAAACACACCACTTGGTGGCAGCAGGACTGCTGTTTTCTTTCCTAACCACAACTGATTCATGTTCTTTGCCGCACTTATGACACATTATTATAAGCAGAGGGTTTTATTGGTTAAAACATCTGAATTTAACAGATACATTTAATTTAACATATTTGTGCTACTCCTTGTACTACATCTATAGTGATGTTCAGAAATGTTACCCTTTTTTTAATGAATTATAATTCTTCCTAGACGTGATGAAGTCATTCAGAGAGAAACCGAGAAGAACGAGGAGATCAAGACAGTGGAGAAAGTGACAGGAAGCACACTTCACACGAATATGCTTAGCTAGTAAGTATCCAATCCAATCCACTTTATTTACATAGCACAATTTTAACAATTTTAAACACAAGGTTTCCAAAGTGCTGCGCAAAAAGATTCAATGTTCAATTCACTGTTATTTGTAAAGCGCCAATTCATAACAGCTTTTCAAATAGAGCAGGTCTAGACCGAACTCCTTATAACATAATTTACAGAGACCCAACAGTACCACCATGAGCAAGCACTTGGCAACAAGGGCAAGGAAAAACTGCCTGTTAAAAGGCAGAAACCTAGGACAGATCCTCCGGCTCTAGGTGGGTGGTCGTCTGTCTCGACCAGTTGGGGTGAGAGAGAGAGAGAGACAGAGAGAGAGAGAGAGAGAGAGAGAGAGAGAGAGAGAGAGAGAGACAGACAGACAGACAGACAGACAGACAGACAGACAGACAGACAGGTGTACAGTCAAACAGGACCATGGCAGGAGGCTCCACCAGGATCAATGAGAACCTGCAAGATGAGAAAAGCACAAGAACTCCGGGGAAGAAGTGAAGTTAGTAACATGCAGTAATGGGACATGAATGAGTGCAGAAAGAGAGAGGAAGAGATTAACAGAGTAAATAGATAACACAATAGAAGCAAAATAGAAAGATGAAGTACACATTAAAGTAAACAGTTGCCTCTTAATACACAGAAAACAAATGACAGTTTATAGACACCTTCAACATTTTTGTTACTCTCTAGTGATTTCAATTTGGTGGTCACTTGCAGGTCAGAAAGAAATTAAGAAAGAAAAGTAACCAGTGAAGCATGAAAACATCAAGTCACCTCTGACCTTTCTGTCCACAGTAATCGCCCCAGCATGAGGCGCCTGAACCCTCTGGGTAACTGGTCCAGACTGGTCTACCTGTACAGCTCCCCGCAGGTGAAGTTCTACTGGAATATTGTGTCTTACTTCGCCTTCCTCTTCCTGTTTGCTGTGGTGCTGATGGTCGACTTCCAGGTCACACCCTCTCCTGCAGAGGTGCTGCTTTACATCTGGCTGTTCTCTCTGGTGTGTGAGGAGGTCAGACAGGTGAGAGAGCGCAGCTTGGAGACACACACTAAATCAACATATACTGAGGTCGGAAACTGCTGCCGTGTTTTTGTCTGTGGGCCGACATCTGATTTGATGTTATTTGACAAGTAGTGCTGCTCTGAAGATGAAAATTATTATTAGTTGAGTAAAACCTCAGTGGGTAGAGGAAGTTTCACAAAAATGGAAATCTTGAACAGATCTTTTTCAACATAAACAGTGGCTGACTGTTCACACTTACAGACGAAACATAAGTGGTGGACGAAACAAACAAATTCAATAATTACAAATCAGAAAAAGATATGATACTATACATTTACACAGCAATACATTAACATGAAAACTGGAGTCACAAAAGATTAGACTAACATTTAAATTAGTAACATTGGAAGAAAAGTATCACCAGTGAAAGAAGCTACATTAAGTCTACATACTAAGTACTACACACTAATAAATTGAATAAACACTCCACAAGAATAAAAGTTCACTGTATTTTTTAGGTGGTTTCACAGTATATCACTTCTTCCTCCTCCTTTATTGTGACTTACTCTACTGTCAGGAGTACACAGAATTAAAAACAAATGTAATGTATGTCTTATATACTTAGACTGTGATTACTATTGGGGATTTCTTTGTCTCATAAAATGATGCAATATATGAAGGAATCAGAATGTAAACCATATATATTATATATTATTGTGAAAACTGCAGTGTAGTAAAAACAGAACTTAAAAATAAAGATTTACTTTAACAGTTCTTCCTTTTCTGCTACCCACCAGAAAACTGGTAATTGTGTCCTTTCTCCCCAGAATTCACACTTGTGACGATTAAAATCCAGTTTTGTTCATTAAAACCAAAGTAATGAAAACAAAGAAATCACCAAATAATCCAAACAAATCCACAATTACAAAAATGAATTCAGTGATGTTATTGGATTGTTTGGTTTCAAATTAGTAGAGGGTAACCACAAAAGTAATGTTGTAACTAATTATTTTTTGGGGGGTAACTGTAATATTATTACTGAAATGTATTAGTAATTAGTTACACTACTAGTTACTGAGGAAAATGATATTATTACTGTAATATTATTAATAGTAATGAGTTATTGCCCAACACTGCATAAAATACTCAAAGTATTTAAGTATTGAAAGTATTCTAATCTTCTATTGCACAAGTAAGAATTGTAATAAATTGTTTTCCCCTGTGCCATTGACTTCCATGGTTGCACACAAACTTTTCAACTTTAATTTAAAACAGATCAGTGAACCAGTGTTCATTCCCATGTTCATGGGACTGTAGTTTATTTTTCAGTCAATCCCAGATACATCTTCCATCTTCTGTAAATCAAGCTCCAAATGCATATTAATCAACCACTGGAAATAGTCCACGAGAAATGCACTTTTTACTCCTGTTTGAGTAATACTCTGTTTGAGTAATTGCTTTAAACTGCAGTTGCATTTGAATTTAAAGATTTACGTCTTCAGCAGGCACCAATGGATTGAGTGTCACAGACAGAGTAGGAAAGTCGTAACGTATGAGGAGACAAACAACAACCAACACAGTTTTTTTATTTATTTATATCACTATTACTAAAAACTGCCAGTTTTAATTTGTCTTTTCTATCTCAGCTGTTTCATGATCCCGATGGTTTTGGGTTTCGTAAGAAAGCCAGGATGTATATCAACGACCTGTGGAACATTTTAGATGTTCTTTCCATCCTCCTCTTTATCATCGGCCTCATATTTAGGTACGTTTCCTTGCTCCCTGATGATCCCTTTAGGCCATGGAAGTGGCCACCACTTTATCTATGAATCACCAAGTCTTTTCTATTTCAGGCTGACGACTGAGCTGTTCTATGCGGGTAAAATCCTCCTCTGCATCGACTTTGTGGTCTTCTGCCTCCGCCTCATGGCCATATTCACTATCAGTAGAACCCTGGGACCCAAAATCATCATAGTCAGGAAGATGGTGAGAGGGCTACATACAAATACAATGAACGCCGTCCTGATGTAATGTGGGAGCAACCGTAGAGCACAAAATGCTACGCTCCAAAACACCTTTTATCTAATACAAAAAGAGGCTTCTGCCTCACTGGGCCTCCATCTGGTGTCTGCAGATGATGTACACTTTGTGTTAAATAAAAGGTGGTGAGTGTTACAGCTGGTCTGTTTGTTACCGCACTGGATATCAGTCAGTCAAACCCTTTAAGATGGGATGTGTTTTCAAGAAAAGCCATTATTGTTTGTGCAGAAATTATATCTGGAGAAACATGGCAACATTTCAGAAACTTGCCACTGCAAAATATATCAATTGTTAAAAATGTAGCCTAATAAAAGTCAACCACTAGAAAATAAACTCTCTGCTGTACATACATTACCTGTCAGTGGTTGCAGTATTCAGATTAATTTACATTTTTGTCCTCCAGATGATGGATATGTTCTTCTTCATGTTCCTGCTGAGTATCTGGGTGGTGGCGTACGGTGTGGCCAAACAAGGCATCCTCATCCACAATGACAATCGGCTGGACTGGATCCTCCGAGGGGCAGTGTATGAGCCGTACCTCATCATATTTGGGAATTTTCCTGCAAATATTGATTGTGAGAGGAGATAAAACATTATATTCATTTGTTTTTTTACTTGAAACACTGTAGTTTGTGAAGTTAAAGTGACTAAATATGTTAAGTATACATATTATCATCAGGAAAACACTTTCTTTGCTTTTTTGCAGATGCTGAATTTCAAATAGACTCGTGCAGCATGAATGGCACCGATCCTCTGAAGCCCAAGTGTCCGGTGCTAAATGAAAACCAAACACCAGCCTTCCCTGAGTGGCTCACCATCATCATGCTTTGTGTTTATTTGCTCTTTGCCAACATACTTCTGCTCAACCTGCTCATAGCTATCTTCAAGTAAGTTCTTTGAGGCTAAATTCAGTCCTAGTTTTAGTAGTGTGAGTTTCTCTGCAACATGCTGTCACTGCACGTCATCCTCTGTCTCTCTGTGTTGCTGCACAGCTTTACGTTCCAGGAAGTTCAGGACAACACTGACAGAATATGGAAGTTTCAGAGATATGAGCTAATTAAGGAGTACCACAGCCGCCCTGCTGCACCCCCTCCTTTAATCATCCTCAGCCATCTTTACCTCTTCATCAGGAACATGGTGCTGTGCAGGCCTCCCATTGTGAGCAAAGAGTTTAGTAAGTATTATAGCCTAATAATGAAAGTAGACTAAAAACCAAAATAATAAATAAAAATCTAAGCACAGCATTCAACCCTTTAGCCCTTTTGCAGTTGATGCTGTGACTGATTTTGGTCTCGCAGACAGCTAAGGATTTTGTTTTTGGCGTTCCTACATCACTCCAGTTTTCTTTAGGGCGTACCTGTAGAGATTTTAATGTGGTTAAATGTCCCCTTTCTGGTGTAACTCAGTCCCAATTTGTCAGTAATGGAAGTTCTTGTGTCCATGTGCATAAACAGTAAGGCGGTGAAAAAGCATGTGACACTGTTTTTCAGAGAACAAGCTACCTGTGAATGAGGAAGAGGAGCTGTTGTCCTGGGAGGCCTTGATGAAGGACAGATACCTGCTGTCCACGCAGCAGGAGCAGAGCCAGAGCATGGAGCGGCGCATCCTGGACACGGCCCAAAAGTAAAATCCTGCAGGAATTAAGCCTAATGTAGCTGTGTAACAATCCATGTTACCGCTGTATATATATATATATATATATAAGATCACACTTTAAATAGGCCTGTGTGTTTTACTCGTAATGCTGAAACATACAGTCAATGTTTTCAAAGTTAACCAGACACCAACACTGTTCTTGTTTGTTTCCTGAGGGTTACCACCATACACGATCGGCTGGAGAGGGAAGAGGAGACAGGCACTGATGCTGTGGAGAAAAGACTGGCCCGACTAGAGGAGCAGGTTGTGACCTGATTTTTTTTTGTTATCACCAATGTTGCACCTGTGTCTGTAACATTTCACATTATGCTGCGGGAGCGGAGCATGATGCAGAAAAAAGATGACACATTTCTCGATGCACCCATGTGTGTTTGTTGAATGTTGAATGTTGAATGTCCCCGGTGGAAAATCTCCAACGTTGTATAAGCAGTCATCAGAAGTATCTGACCCACTTTTATTTTGTCTCATCAGGTCATCCAGTCAGCCAGAGCCCTGCAGTGGATTATGGACAGTCTGAAATCTCAGGGTTTTGGATCAAAAGAAGTACAATCACTGAGTCAGCACCTAACCTCATTATTCTTTTTGATTTACATGTTTGTTTTTAATATATGTAATTCTGCAAATATCTTACACGTCAGATCTGCTCTTGTTGGCACTTCATTCTTCCCTGCAGCATTAAGCACAACAGACGAGTCCCCTGACACCTACGTTAATACGTCAGAGAAGGAGGATGGGTTCCACGTGAACGCCCGTCAGTTTAACTACCCAGGCAGCAAACTCACACGCTTCCCCGTGCCTGAGGAGAAGGTGCCATGGGAGGTATTTCAGACATACCACATTCCACCATAAAATCACAGGCTGCTGGTCCTCAGAACGTCACTGCTAGAGTACTGTATTCACTGATGGTTTTCATTAGGAATGTCATAACAGCAACACGGATTTATGTTTTATAAAAGACCTTTAGCACAGATTTGTGTAATTATTTCACAAGGCTGCTGCTGGAGGTTGTTTTACTTTCCCAAAAACCCAAACTGTACAGTTCAGCGAACATAACATACAGAGAAATAGTGGAATGGAATTCACTCACAAATCATATTATACAACAAAATTATATATGTATGGTTTTAAAGAAATGCCAAGAGAGTATTACTTAAGTGGAAACAAGTAAGTTACTTGTAGCTACTCTTGTGTGTGTAAGGGTTCCACAAGCAATACAATTAAATTATGATATATATCTGTTAGACTATGATATTCAGTTGGAGTCTGCCTTTTTTATTTTTTATATTTTATATTTATTATTCTTTTTATTAATTGTTGTGTGTTTGTCTTTAAATTGTGTCAAAATTGTTATTTTTACAGTAAAACGTAGGTATGATGTGTTGGATGAGTAATGTGAATGTTTATATGTGTATGGTATTGTCACCATGTAAAGTATGTGGACCCCAAGAAGAAAAACTTCTGTTATGCAGAACGCAGTAATGATCTTGATAAACAGACAAACATTAATGAATTAATAATATGGTTTGGGTTTGTTGGATCTAAGTGGTTTTAATGTCCTCTTTGTTTTAGGTCAGCTTCAGCTCATACATGCCGACTTCATACGCCACTGAAGACGGTGGGGACCACGTGGATGGGTGTGTATTTACCACGTAATGTACCATACATAATGTTTGGTTGCTGTTAGTTCCTGGTGTGTGGATACATTTGCAGTCTTAAAGGGTGCTTTTGTCAAGATAACAAAAGATGTTCAAATTGAAACAAAGAATGTCAGTGTCATCTCGAATCAAATATAAAAATATATTTGAAATATATTTATTTAAATACTACAGTTACAACACAGCCTCCTCTGAGCTCTTCATCTCTTACATTTAATTTATTCTTTCTCTTTGCAGATCAGAATCAGATGCCTTAGATAATTACAGGTATGATACTAGATAAGATACACAATGTATCAAATAGCACTTTCAGTAACCGTACAAGCATGTCTTTGATGTCTGATGTGTATCTTATCTGTCATTAGAAACCCAGGAGGGAGGACGGGCATCACGGGACGAGGTGCACTAACCCGCCTTGGTGCAAATCTGAACGTAGACCTTGTGATTACACGGTAGGTCGTCTCATATCCTTTTACTGCTTTTAAAATGGTTGTTTTTGCCATCATTGGATTGCACAGCATGATTTAAGACCTCGAGAATTGATTTTTAGCTGGCGAGACAGCGAGCGATCTGTTTTGGAGTACCTCGGGGTTTGGGGTGAGAGCCAAGGAACCTTACTTTTACCTGGGGTGAGTCCAACTGTTTGTCCACTTCAGCTGTTTTTTTGTTTTGTTTTTACTTTTTGAGCTGTTCACATAAATGTACGGTTGTGATTTTGAAAACCTTCAGGGACCAGTCCAATCTGCTGACCAGCTGCCAGCGAGTCTTAAGAAAACCATGGGAAAGAGTCTGTATGAAAAAATAAATGAAAAAGTATCAGAGGGAATAAAGGTAAGACACTTTGCTTTATAGAGTAGAGCTTGAATGTTCCTAGAGGGAGTCAAATAATAAATACAAGTACATTTTGTGTTAAAAAAGACCTTAACGGCCCAGTGTGTCACATTTAGGAGGATCTATTGGCAGAAATTGAATATAATATTTATAGATATGTTTTCATTAGTGTGTAATCACCTGAATATAAGAATTGTTATCCTTTTGACTTTAAAGCTTTACTTTAGAATGAGCCGTTTCTATCTACAGTACAGGCAAGTCCATCATGTTGAACCGCCATGTTTCTACAGGCACCCAGAATGGACAAACCAAACACTGGCTATAGATTGGGTCTAGTTTAGGGGCCACTATAGTTTCTACACACTCTTCAAAGACGCTTTTCATTCCCAGGTCGTAAAATACTGACGTAAAGAGGTGTTCAGTTAGTTGCAGTTTGCAACTTCACCACTAGATGTCCCTAAATCCTGCACACTGTTCCTTTAAATACTTTTATTTGTATAATAATAAAAACAACAATAAAACACATGTGATGCAATATTTAAAAGACAAGCAAGAATTGTTAAAGAATAAGAACAGATTTGGTCAAAGAAGCTTTTGACGATGATTAGGTCTTGAGTTGAGCATTTAAAACACATTAACAAGTACTTATGACAATAAAAGCTCTATCACCATTAGCGATGAACCCTGAGTGAGGCACAACCAGAGCCCTTTGTCTGATGATCTTAAATTCTTTATGGAAATCTGGGTAACCTACACTTATTAGTAGCTTCCAGTTTATTAGGTACACCTAGCTAAAACTAATGCAGTCTAATACAACAGCCCTGCAATAAATCCTCAGTTTTTATATAAAAGTGTTTTAGTGAGGTGTTGAACTTTATTTTGCAGGATATAGTTTGTGGTTTGAACTGTATTGTATTCTACTGACAGGTGTTTCTATTATTTATCTTCTCAAAAGATCTTCTACCACTAAAAGTGCTGCATTTAGTTGAGGCTCTTATCAGCTCATATTAGTCAGTGCCTTGCTCAAGGACCCTTTTACAGGACACACTGGCTGTCGTGAGGGATAAAACCTGTAATCCACTGTTATTAATTGAATAACTGTTTAATTAATTAAATAAATTGGATGAATAATAATGAATTCAAAGTGCTTTTCTTGACTCTGACATTGAGGAACTTGTTGATTCTGACGTGCAGTTTCTGTGTCACTGTGTTTTAGGTGTTTGAGGGTTACGTGGACGACTGCAGGAACACAGATAACGCCTGGGTGGAGACCACCGTCCTTAATATTCACCTGGACAGAACAAGCCAGGTGATGGTAGACATCAACAACCTGGTGAGAACGAAGAATTATTTGATTTTTTTTGGCCGATATTTGTGGACAGAATTCAGGTCATGATTCCTCCTACAGTGAATATATATTTATACTCATTGTTTTGTGACGATCTCTCTCTCAGTTGGTGAGCAAACACGGGTGTTTTCAGTGGCAGGAGGTGAGCGGCAAAACCAACCTTGGCGCAAACCAAAGAGAATTTCTGCGGCAGGTTGCTGAGCTGCACAACAGGAAGTTCTGATGTTCACAACGCTGTAGCTGTAGCTGTAAACGTGCCTCTCCATTCACAGGTTTTCTTGAGCCTGTTCACGTGGCCTTTTGTTTAGGCTGACGTGGATTCATTACATTGCACTGAAATCACTAAATAAACTATATAAAGCCATATAATGTTATGCTGCTGTGAATAACAATTTGCACCGTCATACGACACTGAATGTGCTATGTGTTAGCATTTTAATGTTCACTGAGAATAAATACTCCAGGACTGCAGAGTAACTAAGTACACTCACTCAAATATGATCCAGTTTCCAGGTAATTGTACATCACACAAGTATTTCCATTTTATGCTGCTTAATACTTTATTCATCAGTACATTTCAGATACATATTCAAATATTGTTTTACTTCACTACATTAATCTGACAGTATAGCTTACTGTGTATAAAATGAGGCATTGTTACAGATGAAAATGCCCAACACGTAGATAATATAGTTGATCTATAGAAATAAATGAGACTTTTAGACTTTTTTTTATAATAAATATCTATATAATTGTGACAAAAATGTAGATCTGCAGATTCAAAAGACCGTCTTGGAACATCTCAAGTGTTCCAGAGAAGCCTTAATCCAGTTTGGAAGCTGTATGAGGTCCTTTAATTAATTATCTCAAACACACAGACCTGGACATCGTACTGGGTCAGTGGGGTGAATCTGGAGATGACTGATATGCTCCTCTGTTGCCTCGATTGTGACTGTATGATGTTATGAAGTTGGACATTGGTGATAGATAGAAGAAACATTTTTATCTTTTATACATTTGGAATGTTTTTAATTTCTATTTATTTCATCTTATAATGTATTTTTATCTTTATTTTTCTTGTGTATGATTGTATATGGATTTCCAGTTGTCATTTATGTTTCTTGAATTCAACCAGCTGCAATATTAAAATATTTACAAGGCGATGCATCAATAATAAAATAATTCACAGTTTATAATAATATCTGAAAGGGACCGTGTATATACTGTATAATGTGGACTACTAATACTTCTGTATCACTTCTGCTCTAATTTAACTTCCACCACCAACACATTTACTTTTTCTGTTCAACTTCCCTGTACTTGTTTGTGTTTATTTCACGTGTCACCTGACATAAACAAGCACTCTTGGCCTTAATAATTATTTAAAAAATAAAATAAAACTACCTAAACTGAATTGTCTTTTCTGCTTTTTGGGGGTTTAATAGAAACAAACCTGTGTTCTCTCACATTGCTCTGCAGAGAAATTAAACTCAAACTGAACACTTTTGGGGATTATCTCAGTGCAGTGAACTCATGCATATTCAGTTTGTGATCTCTTCTACAGTCGTCAGTGTCTTTGTCCACCTGCCAAGCATTTGCAGTCTAGCAGCAGTTTCGGAGCAGCCTCTGGGCGCTCATTGGCTCAGGCAGAGGTGGCCAGACAGCGCAGTATCGGTTTCACACCCTCCTCATTCCGCTGATGTTTATCCTCATTCAGATAATATAGATAATTCATCTGCCATGAAATGAGGAAAGATCATTAATTTCTCTAAATACACACACAGATTGGGGACTTTTAATGTGAAGTCGACATGTGTGATTGTAAAGTTCCTGCAGGCTCTTAAATGAAGACGTTTAATTGTGAAGATTAAACTCTGTAAACTCTGTATTCAGTCCTTCTCAGTAATAAATATGTATAATTTCTTACCCTCCCCCGGCCCCTTTATTATTGTGGTTTGTCCGGTAAGTCCCCGGCAGCGCAGCGCCATTGAAAACATACAGAAGCTATTTTTAACCACAGCTTCAGAGAGGGTAAAAACACTAAGAGCTCCCACTCTGATCGTATTTCATGATACCACAAAGCACACTGAGAGAGTCACTGCTGGGGTCTGTTATTGTGGACCACATTTAATTCAGTAAAAATATTTTGTTAACATCCAGTGCTGTTAAATTATTATTATTAATATTATATATTGTTAATATTATTATATTGTACCTATATATTATATTGTATTATAAATGTTGTACTTTTTAGTCCAGCTACCAAGCAGTAGGCTATATAAAATAAACATTAGCCCCTTTACCAGCTGTAACATTAATATGTTAACATGTACACATGGATGCATCAATAATTATAACCCAGTAATAGAATATATTGGCCTACTATAATGAAATGGTCCATACTGCATGATGAGTTTTATTTTTGGTACGAGAAAATAAGAATTTGTTTGGATATATGAACTATACATATACAACTGCCTGTATAGTAGAGGCCAACGGTAGTCTGTGTTTTATGCATTAGGGAAATCCCTTTATTCTTATATCCTCAATTCACATAAGAAAAACAAAACAGAACAAACAAAACTATTTACTTGGAAACAATAGGTGAAACCTCAGAAGGCCTTGTTCTTTGGTAGTTTGTTATAGAGTTTGCACAACTAAAGTATTTCACATAATGTTTAGTCCTACATTATTACCTCGTATTAAAGGGGCTTGAGGTTTTAATAAATCCATGATAGGGTGTTTAAAGACAGTTAAAGGAGTTGAGTAGCCTACTCATTCTGGTCTCTTTTTTAAATGATGTGATACTATGATTTTACAAGCAAGTGCATCTACCTGATGGCACTGGAGGAGGAACTATTAAGATAATTTACTCAAGTAAAATTTATTAAAATCATATTATTTACATTATTTCAAAGGTGTTTATTATTAGTACTATTTAAAAAAATGTGACTTATTGTGATTGTAATACTGTGATGTCACCTGTTACGTTTTTTCCAAACCTTTATGTTAATTATTTCTTGTGGTAAAATAGTGAGTACAAAAACACATCTCAGATAAAAACTTTAAACCATTTTCTGCAATTACTATTTTTTATTACAAGCAAGTGCATCTACCTAGGAAGTATTAAGATAATTTTGTAAAATTAATTAAAATTAATAACTGATATGGACGCCTCATTGGGATTTACCCCTTACATATTATTCACATTATTTCAAAGGTATTTATTATTAGTATCATTAAAGAAAAAAAAAAATTGTTACAAATACTGTGATTTCACCTGAATTTAAGTTTTTCCAAAAGTTCACTTTAATTATTTCTTGTGGTACACAATCTTTAAACCATAGTCTGCAGTTACTGCTTTTTATTTAAATATGTTTACCGACCCCAGTTTTCAGGTGTTGCTGAACTCATCTCTCCAATAAACGATCTTCGACGACGTGCACGCCGGGGTTTACAGGTGTCCGGAAGTGACGTAGCACGCTCACAAGACTACACCATTGGATTGGACAATAAATATATGGACCGAGAGAGAGAGAGAGAGAGAGAGAGAGAGAGAGAGAGAGAGAGGAGGGGGAGAGAGAGCAGTTTGGACATCTCCGAGGGATCCCGCGGAGCTACACGGTAATATTCTCCGTTTATTTAATGACTTTTATCCTTTATAGTGACAATAAAACCTCCACAGCTCTCACAGTTTGACTGGATCGGGTCTGATTGTTGGGATGAGTGCGCTGAGACTGTGTGTGTGTGTGTGTGTGTGTGTGTGTGTGTGTGTGTATCTGTCAGTGGAGCTGCGGTGTGTTGTGTGTGCATTAACATCGACGACGGTGTAACTGCATAACGCTGTAAACTGTTCATACTGTTTATGAATGAATGTTTCAGCCCATAATAAACACCTATAGTGGCACCCCGAGTAAAGACTGTACCACCAGGTTTAATCAGCCAAACAGATATACATATATATATTTATATATATAAAGTGGTTATTGCATACAAGTATTTAAAAAAAAAAGCTTCTCTCTCTCTCTCTCTCTCTCTCTCTCTCTCTCTTTTTTTTTTTGGTCTTCATTATGTAATCAAGTGGACAATCTTTGTTGAACAGTTTGGGTCTAGAAAAAGACCTTGTCTGTTTGAAGCAGGAGGAAATTATAGACCTCTGTGCGCTGCTGTTGCAGGAGGGGAGGGTAAATTATAGTGGGTGGTGAAGAAATGTTTGTTTTTGAGTAAGATGTTACTCAGAAAGTACTTTTTGTGTAGTATTTTTTTGACTACGTGGCTAAAACAAAAGCCCCTGGCTGGGAGAGGTTTGGCTCTGGTTTTAATATTTAGTTTTCCTCTCAGTTAGACTGCACTGTTGTTATTGAGGTTGTTATATGGTGTTTACACTTGTTTGTAAGGATTAGGGTTATAGCTAGATGTGACTTAAACTAATGCCACAACCCTGCAATAAGTCTCCATTAAGTGAACTGTTTTAGATTCAACTTGCGTTTTTGAGGCTGTAGTGGTCCAAAAACAATGCAACAATATTTTATTTTGTGATATTGTAATTTGATTTTTGTGTTTAAACCTCCAACTACACGTTAGCAGTGTTATAAATGTAAACTGTGGGCTATGACGTTGGATGTTACTGCGACTGTGGTGAATACAAATGCAGATCCCACCGTTCTGATTGCATAGAAACATTGTTTTTACTCAGATTTTATGCATATAGTCTGATGTTGTTCTTTTAAATCACTATATATATATATATATACCACCTCACTTACAGTATCACAGTGTATTGAACCATAACCCCTGTATTGTGATATGTATTCAATCACCAGACTCCTAGTAGTGCTGCAGCATCATAATGAGAGATGTTTCTAATATTTTGCCAACCCCATTTATAACAATGAGTTGAGACACCTCTCAGTCTTATGTAATACGATTCAACTACATTATAAAGCTTAACAAAGTCATAGTTTAGTCTCAAGTAAGCCCCATGTCTTGATAATAATGTCCTGAGTCAAATCCATGTCCTAAACAAGTCATAATACACCCAAATGTAATGCTATTAAAATGTTGATTGAACTGTAAAATAAGGATTGCCCTTTAAAATGTGTACTTATCTGTGACACAGTTACACTTATTTGCAACTTGTGAACCACATGTTTTTTGCATGTTGCCATCCATTTTTTCTTTGTTGACCACAGCACACACATCAGCCTCCATGCTCTCTGTGAGCAGCTCTCAGTCGGCCATCTGACACAAATCAGAGGTGATCATTCGTACGTCGTTCACAAAGACTTAATGTCACAACTGTTTTATGGTTCGTCCGCCTTTTCACTTTGGTATACTTGACAGTCAGTCAGCGGTGGAAAGCATTACACGTGTGAGCGGTGGATGCTGTGTGCTGTCACGACAGCAGCATTGTGTTCCACTCTCATTGTGCTGAGTGGGACATTTCCAGTAAGTGTCCACGTGTGTCACTAATGGCTTTGCTTCTCTTGTAACGGCTTGCCCGTCTGTGGTGCAGTCACAGGTCACACTTGGCACCAATCAGCCAAATGCAGTCCCCCACTAACAGAGTGTTGAAGGCTACACCTCTCAGGTGTTCTTTGTGTTTCTTAACTATGGCACAAAGACACCCAACACCACGTTTACGGCAAATGTGAGCAACTGTAACTGTGGGCCAGAGTTTTTTAACTCTTTTTTTTTTACAAGGACATTTTCATACATTGACATTGAACCCAAACTCTGCCACCAACAGAGAATGAGCAGATTGTTTTTCCTTTCAACAATATACAGTACGTCAGTGAGGGCGTGACTTCCGTTTCATTTCCCGAGAGATTACAGAGAGAGGGACAAGTCCAGGAATTCCCCACATTTCATTAGCAGCAATCATAGTAAGAGTGTTTCTTAAAGGACGAGGCTGGTTATATTCTACTCAGAGTCGAAACTTTTGTTTTAGTCGATCAACAGAAAATAATTTGGCAAATTTAAATTTTGTCTGTGATCAGCTGCTTTTCTGCATTTCTTTTGCATTCTTTTGAATAATATATATATATAATATTATATTTTAACTAATTGTTAGTTGCAGCTTTAATTTAATAATCTTCTTATTGTCAACAAATTGCATGAAAAGACCCAAACGACCAACCTATTGCAGTGACAATATATAATGTAGTGTATCGTTCTGTGCCGCAGAGCTTAAAGACACATCAGTGAGCCACACTGTTACACTGGGTGACATGTTCCCCTACCACCACAAATATGGGCACTGTAGTTTATTTTGGCTCAGCCCCATATATACCATCCTAGTGCCAGATATACTCACTAGCATACCGAATGTGTATTAATCCGCAACTGAAAATAGTCCCCAGCAAATGTGCTACTGGTCGTGTTTGAGTAACGTTTCCTAAACTCTACAAAGCCCAGCTGTTTCAGAAAACGGTCGAGCCTTTGTTTTTTTCAGAAATGAACATATATATTGATGTTGAGAGAGTTAATTCTTGACCTTGGAAACAGTAGTCGACAAAACAACATCATCGCAAAGTCTATTTCTGTTCTTGAGCTTGCAATCTTATCACGCGACCTTCATCAGCAGATGAGGTTTGCCCAGTTGTCATGATATTCAGATTTCAACACTTTAAACTCCTCCATGTTGGCCTTAAATACTTTGAACCCAAAGATTTAAGAGTTCAGTAGAAATTAGTAGAGTGTCACAGACAGGATAGAGAAGTGGACTGAAAGACATACTAACAACATTTGAGAGGATTTTCATGGGATTTGTTGACAATAAGAAAAATAAGAATGCCACTAGCCTTATCCTATAAGTGGTTCAACGCTCAAAATCCCCTCTTCTAGAAGAAGTGGGTCACTCTGGTGCTGCTGTTGCGTGGCATGTTTGTCCAGTTGTCAAGAGTACCTGCACATCTGAGCGGTTGAGTGCCACGTCGAGCAGAGCGTCAGCAGAGACATAGGAAGGGCAGGCCGGTCCTGATGCTGGCGTACAGACAGGAAGCTGTATTTTATGTAATTGACATGTGTAGCAGCAGCAGCAGCAGTGTGGCCCTGCAGCTGGTCTTATCTCTCTAATCCCAGCCCCGGAGACTCGGCTTGTTTACTTTTGGTCACATTTATATAGCGTCAGTGTCGCGTTCAATCGGGCTTAATAAATAAGCTCATTGCTGTATTTCATAAGATGAAACCACATTTAAGAAAATAGTATAAAGGTTTTATGTTTTATCTGTCATTAGTGGTTTGCTGCCATCGATCCATCACAGCCATGAGAAAAAGGACTACATTAGTTACTCCCCACACTCTTGATTCACCCCCAGAGGTGTTTTCACTCCATCATTCGGATGTTAGCTTTGATGCCATTTTAGACCTTTTTCACGGCATCCATTTTGATATGAAACAGTAGGGTAAACACAGTTGTTACCAATGATACTGGTTAAAGCTTCTGTTCATGTTAAACAAAGTCTGGGTGCTGCATTTGTGTATGTTGGCTCACTGGAAAGGTCTTGCTACACTAAATTGAACAGAAACTTAATTAAATCATTGCTAACACCTTTGTTTACCCTACTGTTTCATGTCAAAATGGCTGCTGGGAAAAAGGTCTACAGGCTTAAAAACAATTGACATTGTCCAAAATGTTTGAGTGCCCAGTTTGGAATCAGTGTTGTTTGATGTCATGGCACCAAATTAGAGAAAATATACAGGGACAATATCTTTTACACCCAGCTAGTACTGAAACAGTAGATTGTTAATCATTTTTGATAATAAACTATTTGTCAATTATCAAGCAAAGACCCTCAAAATTCTCTGGTTTCAGCTTCTCAAATGTGATAATTTCTTTCTCTTTCTCTGTTTTGTGTCACTGTTTATTGAAAACCTGCTGGGTTTTGGACTGTTGGTCGGACAAAACAAGAAATTTCAAGACATTACCTTGCTCTGTGGGAAATTTTATGTTATTATTGTAATATTATTCACAAACTTTTGACTTTTTATAGACTAAAGGATTATTTAAATAGTTGAAAAATGCTAATTATCGTAACAGTCCTACACCCAACACAGCAAATCACAACAAATGGACAATAATATAAAGCTGTATATTAAATAAATGTGGAGCTGAACAGTGATTAATAATAATCACATGTGCTGAATGTTCATATTGCGTGCACGTACGGCTATTGAGGGGCATTTGAGTGGAAAAAGCCAAACAACTAACGTAAAGGAGGGATGTGAACATGAATGCATTGCCCCCTTTCCTCCCGTATCCCTCTTTATCTCTCTTCTTCTCCCCCCCCCCCAGGCCCTCTCTTCCTCTCCTTCCTCCTGACTGACATTTCTGTAATGACATTGTCTGTGCTCCACAGGCCCTGCCTCCATCCCATCCTTAGCTTACTGTGCGCCACACGCAGGGCCAGCTTGTCACACCGAGAGCCATCCTGGCACTCCTCACATCTATATCAGACCACTAAATGCCAATAACGACAACTCAGCTTGATTAAGAAAGTAAGCATCTTCCATCTTCCGGGCCCCTCTGCTCTGTTGGCATCCGCCGGAGGTAGAGTTGCCGTTTGCCAAAAGGGTTTATTGGACACACTCGCAGACGCTCTGCTGGTCAGCCTGTTTTAGGA